GGGGGAGGGAGTTCAGTCCTGAGGTGGGTGGAGGATGAGACATCTCAGCCCTAGAGGTGGGTTGTTGAGTGATGACTGAACACCTGGCCCATGTGATCCCTACTAGGGGTTGACACAGTGACTGAAACAATGAGCTCAAGTGTATTAGAGCTGGTGAGGACGGTGTGAGACAGGGCAAGATTCAGAGCTTGAGTCATAGTCAGCTTGATGAAGGCACATCACAATACTGACCCGTATAGGAAATTGGCATAAGACCCAAAGGAATCAGCATTTGGTTTGGCTTGAAGAGCGAGTGCAGAGAGAGAGAGATGGTGGGATAGTGCAGAAGGTGGAGATGCAGCCTGAGCAGTGGTGCGGAGGAGGATATTAGTGGCATTCCTGGGGAGAGTTAGTTGGCTCATCTGGGTGACTTTAGGAGACAAGAAAAGAGTAAATTGGTTCCCAGGTTGCAGAGGACTTTGGTGGGCATCTTGAAAAGTCTGGATTTCATTCTGTGCATAAGTGAGGCCCAAGAGAGTAACTTTAAAATTTTGAGGAATATTTTTAAAAATTAATAATATTTTTAAAAATAAAAACAAATATATAAATATAAATAAAAACTCATTGAGATATTTCAATGATACAGATTTTTTTAGTCCACCACTTCTCTGTCAGTTTGCTTTACTGGGAGAAAGACCAAAAAAGAATTGATTCCTTTCAACTGTGGTGCCAGAGAAGAGTACTGACTATCTCATGGACAGCCGAAAGAACAAGCAAATCTGTCTTGGAAGAAATGAAGTCAAGATGGTCCTTCTAGACAAAGGCAGTGAGGCTACTTGCAGACTCTGGACATGTCAAAAGGACATCATGCTTGGAAAAGTACCGAGTCAGTGAAGGACAGGAAGACTCCCAATGAGATGGGCTGACGCAGTGACTGACTGCAGCATGAGTTTAGCAGAGCAGAGATTGTGAAGATGTGCGGGGATTGGGCAAGATCTCGTGTCATTGTGAGTTGGAGTCAACTTGGTGGCACCTAAAAACAGCAACAAACCATGAGTCAAAATCAGCTTGACTTCTCATAATAGAAACATCAAAACGATAAGGGGTCCCTGGATAATAGAAATGGTTAATGTGCTTGGCTGCTACCGAAAAGTTGGTAGTTCGAGTCCATTCAGAGGTGTCTTGGAAGAAAAACCTGGTGAAATAAAAATGCTCTCTATCACCATAAATGGCATCCAAGTAGATATATGCATACCCATGTTTATCGGGGCTTTGTTTGCAATAGCAAGGAGTTGGAAACAACCTAAATGCCCATCAAAAAATGAATGGGTAGAGAAGCTGTGGTATATTCGCACAATGGAATATTATGCTGCATTGAAAAACAAGGAACTCATGTAATATTATTCAAAATGGGTGACCCTGGAGGACATTATGCTGAGTGAGGTATCTCAGTCACAAAGGGACAAATGCTATATGGTGCCACTGTTGTAGAATGAGGCTGACATCGGGATGGGGGTAAGACTGAGAAAAACTGGATGAAATATGTTTATGGCATGGAAGTCTTTGGGGGAGAGAATATTTTAAAAGTATTATATTTTAGGGCATTATGTTTATCGTAAGAGTACGGAATGAGGGTTGCAGAGTGGATTATATTTGGGGTTGAGGGATGTGGGGGGGATTGTGTACCAATGAGGGAGTTTTTCTTTTGCTTTTGAAGGAGAGGAGTAAACAGGGGGTGGGGGGAAGGGGAGTGGGTGGGGAGAAGAGTGCAACAATGAATGAATGGAATTCCAAAATCTCTGTAGATGTTCATTGAAATGAAAAATAAATAAATTAAAAAAATTTTAAAAAGTGCTCTCTATCTCAGAGGTAAACTGCTATTCCCCCTCATGACATTTCTGTACATATAATATATTCATACTCTTATATACATATAGGGAGCTCTGGTGGCTTGGGGTAAGAAGCTGTGACAATCTCAAAGACACACAGTTCAAATCCATCAACTGCTCTGTGGGAGAAGGATGGGCAATCTGTGCAATTAACTGCCTCTGAGAACCCACTGGAGGGTCAGCTCTGGGTTGGTTCTGACTCAACGGTATACAACAACAATTACATATACATATATAGAAGTTAAGCCCTAGAAGTAGGAAAGAAGATGGTTCAGCAAGTCTCCTATCTTTTCCTCCTCAATTCCCTCTCATCCTTTTGTGTTTAAAGCTACATAAAATAGAGCTGTAATCTAAGGGCATCTGTTTGATTTCTTATCACATGACTCTTTTTGCGCTCCTTTGAATTTTTCCAGAGCATGGCTTTATTGGCTATTCACCAGAAGTGCTACAGAACAACGCTCTGCCTGATTACAGCCCCGGGGAGTCCTTCTTCACTGTCTTTGGAGTGTTCTTTCCTGCAGCTACAGGTACTGGCATTTGAATTTTCCCTCTCATGTTGGGGGTATAAGTGTTTAATTGCCCCCCTACCTCGAAGTGTCATAATTGGTGTGTATGTGTTCTTATCTTACCTATCCCTGACTCTAATAAGTGCCTCAGCTTTAACAAAGAATCTGTTCTTTTAACAGGTTATTTACTTTTAAAAAATAATCCCAGAGGTGTTTCAATTTGATGTAATCCCCTTTATCCTTTATGCTGACAATTTTGGTGAGATTTATAGAGGAGATTTTTTTTACTTTTAGAGCTAAATAGGATGTATTCCTCACCAGGGCAAGTGGCCTCTTCACACATGGGATAAATGCACTGCCAGATTTGAAGCCTCATTTTCTCTTTCCACAACTTCTCCTAAGGGAGAAGCTCATCTTTTCCCATCTCTATTTCAAACATTAAAAATATGTATGGATTTTTAACATTTTTATTTATAATATAATTAGCATATGCTTTTCTTACTTTGCATCATATCACATATAGTGTGGGCAGTTTCCCATAGTAATACATACACTTCATAAACATTTAAAATTTAGGAGAATGAATTGTTAGGCAACAAGGCATAAATGTACTTTGCTTTTTCTACCAAGTGTGGGCCAAACCAATGTCCATGGGTAATGATTGAATTCTTTTCCTGACCTTTTCCAACTTTCCCCCTTTCAGTGGTTGTGGAAAAGCCTTCCGAAGCTGAGGTCCTAGAGAACGCTTACCTCTTACTTAGGGTCTGGACTTGGAAGGCAGTACACAATCGTGGTGACAAATAAGTTTATAAGGAATAACCATTTGTTTGGTATCAGGCTTCTTCTCAGGACAAAGAGTCAGAAAAATATTTCACTTAATTGAGTTGTATTGATGTGGAGTGGGCCTTATCTTGTCTGCTTTCCTCTGGTTTTCTACATGTGACATTTTCATCTTCTACTATAAAAAGCTTTCGGCCTCCCGACCGAGTGTTTCTCTGTTCCTATAGTGTGACAGACGCTTTCGGCGCGAGTCGCTTCTCTATTGTCTGAGCCGACTTTCGCCTGCCCGTGTTTTATAAGAAACATAAACGCAGGTTATACACATGGATTTCACCTGATGGTATGCATAGGAATCAGATCGATTACATCTGTGGAAGGAACCGCTGGAGAAGCTCAATATCAGCTGTGAAAACTAGGCCGGGGGCTGATTGTGGAACAGACCACCAACTACTCATATGCAAGTTAAGCTGAAGCTGAGGAAAATCAAACCGAATCCACAGGAGCCAAAATATGACTTTGATTTCTCCCACTTGAATTTCAGACTCATCTAAGGAACAGGTTTGAGGCCTTGAACACTAATGAGCGA